CTTTTTCTCCACATCCTCGACAACACCTGTTGTTTCTTTTGTTTTTTATTTCAGCCATCTGACAGGTATGAGGTGATAACTCCTTGGGGTTTTGATTTGCATTTCCTTGATACTTAGTGATGTTGAGCTACAGTCTTTATTTTAACATCTAATTTGTCTGATATTGCTACCCAGGGTTTTTTTTTTTTTTTTGCTTCCATTTGCATGGAATATCTTTGTCTATCCCTTCACTTTCAGCCTATATGTGTCTTGAGGTCTGCAGTGAGTCTCTTGTAGGCAGCATATAGATGGGTCATTTTTTTTTAAAGATTTTATTTATTTATTTGACAGAGAGAGAAACACAGCGAGAGAGGGAACACAAGCAGGGGCAGAGGGAGAGGGAGAAGCAGGCTTCCCACAGAGCAGGGAGCCTGATGTGGGGCTCGATCCCAGGACTCTGGGATCATGACCTGAGCCGAAGGCAGACGCTTAACGACTGAGCCACTCAGGCGCCCCGGGTCATTTTTTTTTTTTAATCAATTCAGTCACCCTGTCTTTTTTTTCACCATATGTGTTTTGATTGGAGCATTTACTTCATTTACATTTAGAGTAATTGTTTGATATGTATGCTTTTTTGCTCATTGTTTTTATAGTTGTCTTTTCTTTTTATTCTTGCTCTGTTCCCTTGATGTTTTATGACTTTCTTTAGTATTATGCTTAGATTCCCTTGTCTTTATTGTGTATCTATTACACGTTTTTGGTTTGTGATTACCATGATGTTCATTTATAACTTTCTATGTATGTAGCAATGTGTATTAAGTTGATGGTCACTTAAGTTTGAACACATTCCAAAAGCACTACATTTGTACCCCCCCTTGCATGTTTTATGTGAATGATGTCATATTTTGTTTTTATTTTGTGTGTTCCTTGACTAAGTTTTTAGATATAATTGATTTTACTACTTTTATTTTTTTTATCCTTCATACTACCTAAAGAAATGATGGAACTCATATTTTTACTGTGTGTTTGCTTTTACCAGTGAAATTTTTCCTTTCAAAATTTTCTTACTTCTAGTTATGGCCTTGTGTTTTCTCCTTAAATATGTCCATTTAACATTTCTTGTATAGTTGGTTTAGTGGTGATGAACTGTTTCAAGTTTTGTTTGTTTGTGAGATTCTTTCTTTCTCCTTTAATTCTGAAACCTTGCCAGTAGAGTGTTTTTGGTGGTAGATTTTTTCCTTTCAGCACTTTGAATATATCATGCCATTCTCTGTTGGCCTGCTGTTTTTGCTGAAAATTAGCTGGTAGCCTTATTGTTTTTACCTTGCACATAACTGCTTTTCTCTTGTGGCTTTGAGATGCTCTCTCTATCTTTAATTTTTGACATTTTAATAATTGTGTTTCTTGGTGTGGACCATCTTGATTTCATCTTGTTTGGGACTGTCTATGCCTCCTGAACCTTGATGTCTCTTTCCTTCCCCAGATTAAGGGAAGTTTTCAGGTATTATTTCTTCAAGTTAGTTTTCTGCCTTTCCCTCTTTTCCCTTTCTGGGACCCCCATTATGCAAATGTTATTATGCTTGATGTTGTCACAAAGGTATCTTAACCTATTCTCATTTTTTTGAAAGATTTTATTTATTTATTTGACAGAGAGAAAGAGCAGGAGAGCACAAGCAGGGGAAGTAGCAGAGGGAGAGGAAGAAGCAGGCCCCTGGCCGAGCAGGGAGCCTGATGCAGGGCCTGATCCCAGGACCCTGGGATCACGACTCAAGCCAAAGGCAGATGCCTAACCAACTGAGCCACCCAGCCTCCCTAGCCTATTCTCATTTTTAAAAATTGTTTTGTTTTTTTTTTTTTTGCTGCTCCACATGGTTGCTTTCTATTACCCAGTCTTCCAGCTTGCTGATCCATTCTTCTGCGTCCTCTAATTTGCTTATTCCCTCTATAGTATATTTTTCACTTCAGTTATTGCATTCTTTAGCCCTGATTGGTTCTTTTATATATTTTCTATCTCTTTTTTATATTTCTCACTGAGTTCATCCATGTTCTCTCAAGTCCAGTGAGTGTCTTTACGACCATTACTTTGAACTCTTTGTCAGGTAGATTGCTTATCTTTGTTTCATTTAGGTCTTTTTCTGTGATTTTTTTTTAATATTCTTTCTTTCAGAACATATTCTTCTGTCCTCTCATTTTGTCTTACTCTTTGTGTTTGTTTCTATGTATTAAAAAAGTCAGCTATCTATGTCTCCTGCTCTTGGAAGTACTGGCCTTATGTGGAAGACATCTTGTGATGCCCTTTAGTGTAATCCCTCCTGGTCACCAGAATCAGTATACTCCAGAGCTGTCCCTGGTGTGGGCTTCATGCACCTTCTTGTTGTGGCTGAGCCACATTGCTGCATTTGGGCTGGGGGGGTCGGGCTGGCCCTCAGCTTGGTTGGTTGCAATTTTTGTACTCTTACTTTTATAAACATTCAGTTCTCTCCCACACTGCAAGGCTTTCTAAGGTAAGCTTTTTTGTTGAGGGGGAGAGTAACCCACCTCAGGCTTTGGAGTGTGGATCATTTGGTGCTGAAGACTTGGGGCCCAGCAGACAAAGACAGAACTTTCGTGGTTTTTTTTAAAGATTTTATTTATTTATTTATTTGACAGAGAGAGACATAGTGAGAGAGGGAACACAAGCAGGGGGAGTGGGAGAGGGAGAAGCAGGCTTCCCGCTGAGCAGAGAGCCCGATGTGGGGCTCCATCCCAGGACCCCGGGATCATTACCTGAGCCGAAGGCAGATGCTTAACGACTGAACCACCCAGGCGTCCCTCTTACTTGTTTTTCTTCTGTTAATCTGTGTTATGTCAATTTAATTATTAGAGTAGCTGAAAAACCTAGAAGGGGAGAAGGGAAATTTTTCTGCCCTTACAGTACTTATCCAAAAACATGTTTGTTTTAAATCTGTAATTCAGATTTAACTCAGGTCGTGGATTTCATTTTTTCTTTTTAAAAATCTGTTATGGAAGTACAGTTGACATACAATGTTATATTAGTTTCAGGTGTACAATGTAGTGATTCAACAATTCTATACATTATTCATTGGTCACTTTGATAAGTGTTGTCACCATTTGTCACCATATGTTATTACAGTATTATTGACTATATTCCCTATGCTGTACTTTTCATCCCTGTGACTGATTTATTTTATGTATTTTGACCATTCCCCCACCTTCCCCTCTAGCAACCACCAATTTGTTCTCTGTATTTATGAATTTATTCCTTTTGTTTGTTCATTTGTTTTTTTATATTCCACATATAATGAAATCACATGGTATTTGTCTTTCTATGTGACTTATTTCACTTAACATAATGTTACCCTCTAGGTCCATCCATGTCATTGTAAATGTCAAGATTTCATTCTTTCTAATGCCTGAGTACTATTCCATTGTATATATATATGCCACATCTTTTTTTTTTAAGATTTTATTTATTTGTTTGAGAGAGAGAGAATGAGAGATAGAGAGCACGAGAGGGAAGAGGGTCAGAGGGAGAAGCAGACTCCCTGCTGAGCAGGGAGCCCGATGCGGGACTCGATCCCAGGACTCCAGGATCATGACCTGAGCCGAAGGCAGTTGCTTAACCAACTGAGCCACCCAGGCGCCCTATACACCACATCTTAATCCATTTATATATGGATGGGCAATTGGGTTGTTTCCATATCTTGGTTATTACAAATAGTGCTGCAAAACACATGGGGGTACATATATCTTTTCTAGTTAGTGTTTTTGTTTCTTTGGGTAAATACCTACTAGCGGAATTATTGGATCATATGCTATTTGTATTTTTAATTTTTTGAGGAATCTCCATACTGTTTTTCACAGTGGTTGCATCAATTTACATTTCCATGAACAAAACATGAGGATTTCCTTTTCTCCACATCCTCACAAACACTTGTTATTTCTTGCCTTTTTGATATTAGTTGGGCTATATATTTCTGTTTGTTTGATCTTGTAAATACAAGGACTCAAAATTTGCCACCCCAAAATGCATCTTTGGCATGTGAATTATAGTGTGATTATTTTTTTTAAGATTTTATTTATTTATTTGACAGAGAGAGTGAGAGAGAGAGCATGCATGCGCACAACCAGGGGGAGTGGCAGAGGGAGAGAGAGAAGCAGGCTACCCCACTGAGCAGGGAGCCCAATGCGGGGCTTGATCCCAGGACCCTGGGATTATGACCTGAGCCGAAGGCAGACGCTTACCCGACTGAGCCACCCAGGTGCCCTAGTCTGATTATTTCTATGAAATATAAAGCTCAGGAAGAATCTTTGATCTTCTTTTTAACTGCCTAAAGGAATTTAGGTAGAAGACCTGCTCCAAGAGAGGGATGTCACCATAGGTAACTACAGTATAATATGAACTAAGTTTGATAGACAGGGAGGAATTTGCCAAGGCCTGTTTGTTTAAAGTCCTCTCGTGTCCATTTGTTTCTGTATGGCCCAGCAACCATTTCTTTCACAAGGATTTACTCTTTTTCTTTTTTTAAAGATTTTGTTTATTTATTTGACAGAGAGAGACACAGCGAGAGAGGGAACACAAGCAGGGGGAGTGGGAGAGGGAGAAGCAGGCTTCCCGCTGAGCAGGGAGCCCGATGTGGGGCTCGATCCCAGGACCCTGGGATCATGACCTGAGCCGAAGGCAGACGCTTAACGACTGAGCCCCCAGGCTCCCTAGGATTTACTCTTTTTCATCTCCTGTGAATTGCTTTCTTTTCCTTTGAAATTACTAACCCATACCTCTTTCTCCTTAGTCCAGAATGAAATATATACTTCATTTTACCTGACTGTGTTTGGAAACTCTGTTTATGTGGATTCCTTGTAGGTACATAGTTTTGATTTTCTTCTGTTAATCTGTCTCATGTTAGTTTAATCCTTTGACCAGCCAGAAGAATCTTGAAGAATGGAGGAAATTTTTACTCCCCAACAGTTGTTGGGGATGACCGGATAAATTTTAACTGGTTGGACATTGCTCTCCCTAGGGCTGCTGCAGCTGTGAGGTTCTGGGACTTCTGACAAGTTGGCATAAGTTATCAGTTCTTATGATGTTAATCTGCTGGGTCTTCGCCTGAAGGTATAACTGAATCAAGAGTGGTAAGCATCCTTTTCTTTATCTAAATATAGATTAGCAGGAAAAAATACTTGTGGAACTAGTTCCTTGGGTATATGGACTTTGGTAATATGTATTATTTGTTTTGGAAAGCAAATTAATATTCAGAGACTGAGTTTGTCTTTGATAATAATTTGTTTAGAAGAGGTTCACTGTGAGAATTTTACAAGCCAGTAGCGTACAAGATAATGTCTCTTCATAAGCCAATAAAGAAATAACATACTCTAAATTTATGATAGATTAGTCACGCTATCATTCTAGAAAAGGAGAAGTGAAAGGAATAAAGATCAAACTTAGCTGAGGTGTACCTTTTTAGGAGTTGGTACTCAGGAGAGACTGCTTAGCTAACTGAAAGGCGAGGCCCACCCACCAGTGAAAAAGTAAAGGTCCCCTGTTACTAGAGTGCTTTGCTAGGGATTAATGGCACCATTGTGTTGGGCAAGAGGATTTTTATCTCAAAGCTGCGGTACAGCTTTCACCACTCCTTGTAGAAGATTCACTTTTACCAGGAACAGGAGCTAATTGCCACCAGGTCTTCAGAGAGCTATTTTAGATCAGCAAAATGTTGCCTCTCCAAGACCAAACACTTGAATTGTCCTCGTAAATGTAGTATTTACTGTCAAAATGTCCTCTTGCCATACTTGCTTCCCTGTATTATGTTTTTATTGATATGCCCCTAGTGGAGCCCCCAGCAGCTGAGCTTTTGAGTTCTTAACAGTGAGAACAGGACAACATCCTAACACAAATTACTTCATTCTTTTTTTTTTTTTTAAGATTTTATTTATTTGACAGAGACACAGCGAAGAGAGGGAACACAAGCAGGGGGAGTGGGAGAGGGAGAAGCAGGCTTCCCACTGAGCAGGGAGCCCGATGCGGGGCTCGATCCCAGGACCCCGGGATCAGGACCTAAGCTGAAGGCAGATGCTTAACGACTGAGCCACCCAGGCGCCCCAAATTACTTCATTCTTATAGCAAAACAACTTTATTTCTAAAGACTTTGTCTTTATCGTAAACAAGTGGATTTGAAATCATATCATAACAATACACAACAATCCAATTTGTAATTTCAACTCACACACTACTTAATCCTAAGGGCCTAATGCCCTGTACAAAGCTAAGTTCACAAAAATGTCAATCCACCCTCTGATTCTACATCACTTACAAACTTAATCACATGCAGTCATTTTGGGGGGGCATTCTTCCTTTGTTGCACATTCTTTTACACCATTGTTTAATGACCAGTTTAAGCAACCATATTCCTAATATTCGTAGCAAAACCATAACAAAGACCTCCTTAATATGCTACCATATCCAATTGCCAAATGACAACAAATTAAGCTTTTTAACCCATTCAGTTAAACTTCCTTGAGAATTGTATTTCCATCTATAAGCCATGTTTTATTTTAAGATTTTATTTATGTATTTGAGAGAGGGAGAGTGCATGAGAGAGAGAACAAGCAGGGGGAGTGGCAGGCAGAGGTAGAAGCAAGCTCCCAGCCGAACAGGGAGCCTGACTAGGGGCTCGATCCCAGGACCCTGGGATCATGACCTGAGCCAAAGGTAGACACTTAACTGACTGAGCCACCCAGGCGCCCCTATAAGCCATTTTTATACGGTTCCAGGGGGTATAAGCACGTAAAGTACATTGTATATACAGTATCAGGCGCAGGTATGATTGCCATAATATCAGAATTCAAAGCTGTCATAACTTTGGGAATATAATTTTTTTGTCCTCTTTTCAATTCCTGCTGAGTTATTTTAACTTTATTAGTCTTATCTACCATGTTTGTTTATTTAAGTTTCCGTTGTATGATTTAAATTGACTAAATTTATTTTAAGAGTTTCAATGTGAAATATTTCTCTGGTTATTTTACTTTTTTATTTTATTAAAGTTTTTATTAAAGTTTTTATTTTAATTCCAGTTAACATACAGTGTTATATTAATTTCAGATGTACAGTATAATGATTCAACAATTACATACATTACCCAGTGGTCATCACGACCTGTGTATTCCTTAACCCCATCGCCTATTCCTCCATTCCTCCCTGCCCCCCACCTCCCCTCTGGTAGCCAGCAGTTTGTTCTTGATAGTTAAGGGTCTGTTTCCTGGTTTGTCTCTGTCTGTTTTTTTCCCCTTTGCTCATTTGTTTTGTTTCTTAAATTTCACATGACTGAAATCACATGGTAGTTGTCTTTCTCTGACTGTCTTATTTTGCTTAGTATTATACTCTCTAGCTCCAACCAAGATTTCATTCTTTTTATGGCTGAATAATATTGTGTTGTATATATATACCACATCTTCTTTATCCATTCATCAAACGATGGACATTTGGGTTGCTTCCATAATTTGGCTATTGTAGATAATGCTGCTATAAACACAGGGGTGCATGTATCCCTTTGAATTAGTGTTTTTGTATTTTTTGGGTAAATACCCAGTAGTGCATTTGCCGGGTCAGTAGGGCAGTTCTATTTTTAATTTTTGAGGAACCTTCATACTGTTTTCCACAGTGGCTACACAAGTTTGCATTCCCACCTGTGGTACCCAAGGGTTCCTTTTTCTCCACATCCTCCCCAATACCTGTTGTTTCTGGTGTTGTTGATTTTAGCCATTCTGATAGGTGTGAGGTGATATCTCACTGTACTTTTGATTTGCATTTCCCTAATGATGAGTGATGTCGAGTGTCTTTTCATGTGCTTGTTGACTGTCTGTATGTCCTTTTTGGAAAAAAATGTGCACGTCCTCTGCCCATTTTTTAATTGGATTATTTGTTTTTTGGGGTGTTAAGTTGTATCAGTTCTTTATATATTTTGGATACTAACCCTTTATTGGATACATCATTTGCAAATACCTTCTCCCATTCTGTAGGTTTTCTTCTGGTTTTCTTGATTGTCTCCTTCGCTGTAGAGAACCTTTTTATTTTGATGCAGTCCCAACAGTTTAGTTTTCCTTTTGTTTCCCTTGCCTCAAGGAACATACCTAGAAAAAAGGTGTTGTGGCTGATGTCAGAGACGTTACTGTCTATGTTCTCTTCTAGGATTTTTATGGTTTGAGGTCTCATGTTTATGTATTTAATCCATTTTGAATTTATTTTTGTGTATGGTATAAGACAGTGGTCCAGTTTCGTTCTTTTGCATGTTGCTGTCCAATTTTCCCAACACCATTTCATGAAGAGATTGTCTTTTTCCCATTGTATATTCGTGCTTACTTTGTCATAAATTAATTGATCATAAAAGTATGGGTTTATTTCTGGGTTTTCTATTCTGTTCCATTGATTTTGTGTCTGTTTTTGTGCCAGTACCATACTGTCTTGATGACTACAGCTTTGTAATATAATTTGAAATCTGGAATTGTGATGCCTCTAGCTTTGTTTTTTCTTTTTCTTCTTTTTGTTTTTCCTTTTTTTGGGGGGGGGAGGGGGAAAAAGGAGGGGAGGGAGAGTGAGGCTCTTAAGCAGGTTCCATGCTCAGCAAGGAGCCCAAGGCAGGGCTCAATCTCACAGCCCTGAAATCATGACCTGAGCCAAAATCAAGAGCCAGACACTTAACTGACTAAGCCACCCAGGTGCCCCAAGATTTTACATTTTTTTTCTCAGTAGTCTCTACACCCAACATGGGGTTTGAACTCACACCCTGAGATCAGGAGTCACATGCTCTTCTGACTAAATCAGCCACGCACCCCTTTGCTTTGCTTTTTTAAGATTGCTTTGGCTAGGGGTGCCTGGGTGACTCAGTTGGTTAAGTGTCTGCCTTCACCTCAGGTCATGATTTCGATCGAGCCATGCTTCGGGCTCCCTGCTCAGTGGAGAGCCTGCTTCTCCCTCTGCCTCTGCCTCTCCCCCCTGCTTGTGCTCTCTCTCTGTCTGTCAAATAAATAAATAATCTTTAAAAAAAAAAAGATTGCTTTGGCTATCACAGTCTTTTGTGGTTCCATACAAATTTTAGGATTGTTTGTTCTAGTTTTGAAAAAAATGCTGTTGGTATTTTGATAGGGATTGCATTAAATGTGTGGATTGCTTTGGGTAGTATAGACTTTTTTTAAATTTAAATTCAATTAATTAACATATAATGTATATTATTAGTTTTAGAGGTAGAGTTCAGTGATTCATCAGTCTTACATACATCAGTATAGTGCTCATTATATCATGTGCCCTCCTTAAACATTTAAAAAAAAAGATTTTATTTATTTGAGAGAGGGAGAGCATAAGTGGGGGAGGGAGGGGCAGAGGAGAGGGAGAAGCAGACTCCTCACGGAGCAGGGAGACCAATGTGGGTCTCGATCCCAGGACCCCAGGATCATGACCTGAGCTGAATGCAGATGCTTAACCAAGCCAGGCACCCCTAAACATTTTCTTTTTTAAGTACACTCTATGCCCAACGTGGGGCTTTAACTCATGACCCCAAGATCAAGGGTCACATGCTCTATTGACTGAGCCCCCCAGGCACCCCCTAGTATAGACATTTTTTAAAAAAGATTTTATTTATTTAATTGACAGAGAGAGAGAGACAGCGAGAGAGGAACACAAGCAGGGGGAATGGGAGAGGGATAAGCAGGCTTCCCGCCGAGCAGGGAGCCCGATGCGGGGCTCGATCCCAGGACCCTGGGATCATGACCTGAGCCGAAGGCAGATGCTTAATGACTGAGCCACCCAGGCGCCCCTAGTATAGACATTTTAACAATATTTGTTCTTCCAATCCATGAGCATCGAATGTCTTTCCATTTCTTTGTTGTCTTGAATTTCTTTCATCAGTGTTGTATAGTTTTTAGAGTACAGGTCTTTCACCTCTTTGGTTAGGTTTATTACTAGGTGTCTTATTATTTTTGGTGCATTTGTAAATGGGATTGCTTTCTTAATTTCTCTTTCTGCTGCTTCATTATTGGTGTATTGAAATGCAACAGATTTCTGTACATTGATTTTGTATCCTGTGACTTTACTGAATTCATTTATCATTTCTAGCTGTTTCTTGGTGGAGTCTTTTGGGTTTTCTATATATAGTATTATCATCTGCAAATAGGGAAAGTTTTATGTCTTCCTTACTGATTTGGATGCCTTTTACTTATTATTCTTGTCTGATTGCTGTCACTAGGACTGCCTGTACTATTTTGAATAAAAGTGGTGAGAGTGGACATGCATGTCTTGTTCCTGACCTTAGGTGAAAAGCTCTCAGTTTTTCTTATTAGGGATGATGTTAGTGGTGGGCTTTTCATATATGACCTTTATTATGTTAAGGTATGTTCCCTGTAAACCTAGTTTGTTGAGGGTTTTTATCATGAATGGATGTTGTACTTTGTCCAGTGCTTTTTCTGTGTCTATTTAAATGAGCATATGTTTCATATCCTTTTTCCTATTGATGTGAGGTATCATCTTGACTGATTTGTGTATATTGAACCACGCTTGCAACCCAGGAATAAATCCCACTTTATCATAATGAATGATTTTTTTAAGGTATTGTTGGATTCGGTTTGGTCGTACTTTGTTGAAAATTTTTGTATCTATATTTATTAGAGGAATTGGCTTGTAGTTCTCTTTTTAGTGGTGTCTTTATCTGGTTTTTGTATCAGGGTAATGCTGGCCCCATAGAAGGAATTTGGAAGTTTTCTTTTCTTTTTCTAATTTTTGGAATAGTTTAAGAATAGGTATTAACTCTTTAAATGTTTGGTAGAATTTGCATGTGAAGGTTCTGGAATTTTGTTTGTTGGGAGTTTTTGGATTAGTTATTCAATTTCTTTGCTGGTTATTGGTTTGTTCATATATTCTGTTTCTTCCTCTTTTAGTTTTGGTAGTTTATATGTTTCTAGGTATTTATCCATTTGTTCTAGGTTGTCCAATATGTTGGCATATAGTTTTTCATAATCTCTTTCAATCCTTTGTATTTTTATGGGGTTGGTTGTTATTTCTCCTTTCTCTTTTGTGATTTTATTTACTTGGGTCCCTTTTTTTCTTGATGAGTCTGGCTAGAGGTTTATCAATTTTATTGATTTTTTTTTTCAAAGAACCAGCTCCTGGGGGTGCCTGCATTCCTCAGTCAATTGGTTTCGGCTCAGGTCATGATCTCATGGGTTGTGAGATCAGGCCCAGCGTCAGACTCCACACTCAGTGGGGAGTCTGCTTAAAGATTCTCTCCTTCTGTCCCTTCCCCTAGTTGTCTTCTCTCTCTCTTTCAAATAAATAAATAAATCTTTAAAAAAAGGAAAAAGACAAAAAAGAACCAGCTCCTGGTTTCATTGATCTGTTTAATTTTTAATTTTTTTTTTGGTTTCTGTATCATTTATTTCTTCCCTAATGTATATTACTTCCTTCATTCTGCTGGTTTCAGGTTTTGTATATTGTTCTTTTCTAGCTCCTTTAGGTATATGGTTAGGATGTTCATTTGAGATTTTTCTTGCTTCTTTTTTTTAAATATACATATTTTTAAAGATTTATTTATTTATTTGAGGGGGGAAGGAGGGCATGTGACCAGGGGCAGAGGTAGAGGGAAAAAAATCTCAAGCAGACTCCCCATTGAGCACACAGAGCCCAATGGGGGGCTTGATCCCACAACCCTGAGATCATGACCTGAGCTGATATCAAGAGTCAGATGCTTAACTGACTCTGCCACCCAGGCGCCCTTTTTCTTGCTTCTTGATATAGGTCTGTATTGGTATAAATGTCCCTCTTAAAAGTGGTTTTGCTGCATCGTAAAAGTTTTGGACTGTTGTGTTTTCATTTTCATTTGTTTCCATGTACTTTTTAATTTTCTTCCTTTATTTCCTGTTTAACCCATTCATTATTTAGTAGCATGTTATTTATTTAAGTTTTGTTTATTTATTTTTCGTAATCTCCACACCTGGTGTGGGGCTCGAACTCATGACCCTGAGATCAAGAGTCACATGCTCTTCTGACTGACCCAGCCAAGATCTCAGAAGCATGTTATCTGACCTCCATGTATTTGTGGGCTTTCCAGATTTTTTTCTTGTGGTTGACTTCTAGTTTCATAGCATTGTGGTCAGAAAAGGTGCATGATATAATTTCGATCTTGAATTTGTTGAAGTTGTTTTGTGGCCTGTATGTGATCTAGTCTGGAGAATGTTACTGTGTGCACTTGGAAAGAATGTGTATTCTGCTTTTTAGGATGGAATGTTTTGAATATATCTGTTAAATCCATCTCGTCTACTGTGTCACTCAAAGCCATTGTTTTCTTGTTGATGTTCTGTTTAGATGATCTGTCCATTGATGTAAGTGGGGTGTTAAAGTCCCCTATTTTTATTATATTACTACCAGTTAGTTCCTTTATGTTTGTTATGAACGGTTTTATATATTTGTGTGCTCCCATGTTGGGTGCATAAACATTTATAATTGTTATATCTTGTTGGATTGTCTCCTTTATGATTATATAGTGCCCTTCTTTGTCTTTTGTTACAGTCTTTGTTTTGAAGTCTATTTTGTCTGATATAAGTATCGCTACTCTCGCTTTTTTTTTGACATCTGTTTGCATGATAGCTGTTTCTCCATCTCCTTACTTTCAATCTTCAGGTGTTTTTACGTCCACAGTGACTCTTGTAAGCAGCGTATAGGTGGGTCTGATTTTTGTTTTTGTTTTTGTTTTTACTTTAATGTGGCCTCTTCTGTCTTTACTTTTGGAGTTTGTTCTGTCAATCTTCAGGTCTATTTCTAGGGTATTTAGGATGATTTGATAGTTATCTCGTTGTGTTCGTGGGATGAGGTGAGCTTAGGGTCCTCTTACTCTGCCACCATCTTCCTTTCTCTTTCTCGATTTCACAACCCTGAGATCATGAACCTAAGCCGAAACCAAGAGTCAGATGCTTAACTAACTGAGCCACCCGGGCACACCTGGGTCATGTTTTTTATTCATTCTGTCACTTTATGTTCTTTGGAGCATTTAGTCCCTTTACATTCAAAGAAAGTATTAATAGTTAAGTACTTATTGCCATTTTATTACTTGTTTTGTGGTTCCTTCTGAAGATTTTCTCTGATCCTTTCTTTTTCGTGGTTTGCTGGTTTTCTTTAGTGATATATTTGAATTTCTTTCTCTTTCTTCTTAGCATATTTATTAGTGGTTTTTGACCTGTGGTTGCCATTATGTTTATATGTAATATCTTCTGCATATAGCAGTGTATATTAAATTGATGGTCATTTCAGTTTCAACCAATTCTTTACTCCTCTCCTCCCCACATTTTAGGTATATGGTGTCATATTTTAAGTCCTTTTATTTTGTGAGTTCCTTGATGATATTTTTACAGAAATATTCATTTTTACTGCTTTTTTGTTTCCTGCCTTCATAGTGTCATTTTTTTGGTTTTTCCTTTCCACTTAAGAGAGTTCCCTTTGCTATTTCTTGCAGGGCTGGTTTAGTGGTCATGAACTCCTTTAGTTTTTGCTTGTCTGGGAAAGTATCTCTATTTCTATTCTGAATGATTGTCTTACTGGATAGAGTATTCTTGGCTGCAGATTTTTCCCATTCAGCATTTTGAATATATCATCCCACTCCTTTTTGGTCTGGAAAGTTTCTGCTGAAAAATCCCCTGATGGCCTTATGGGGTTTTCCTTGTATGTTACTGTTTTCTTTTGTCTTGCTCCTTTTTAACATGTTTTCTTTATCACTGTATTTTGCCAATTCAGTTATAATGTCTTGGTATATATCTGCTTTTGTTGATTTTGTTGGGAGTTCTCTGTGCCTCTTGGATTTGAATATCTGTTTCCTTTCTCAGATTAGGGAAGTTTTCAGCTATTATTTCTTTAAAAAGTTTTCTGCCCCTTTCTCTCTCTCTTTTTATTTTTATTATTTAAAAAAATATTTGTTTGAGAGAGTGAGAGAGCATGAGAGAGGGGAGGGTCAGAGGGAGAAGCAGACTCCCTGCTGATCAGGGAGCCCAGGTGGGGCTTGATCCTGGGACTCTGGGATCATGACCTGAGCCAAAGGCAGAACATGACCTGAGCCAAAGGCAGATGCTTAACCTACTGAGCCACCCAGGCACCCGCCCCCATTTTTAAAGATTTCATTTTATTTTTTAAGTAATCTCAGTACCCAGTGTGGGGCTCAAACCTACAACTGCAAGATCAAGAGTCTCACACTCCACCGAATGAGCCAGCCAGGTGCCCCAAGCCTCCTTTTCTCTTCTTCATCTGGAACTCCTGTAATATGAATGTTAGTACATTTAATGGAGTCACTGATTTCCCTAAGTATGTTCTTGTTTTGCATAATTCTTTTCTCTCTCCTTTATATAGCTTGCTTGCTTTCCATTATTCTGTCTCCTAAATCATTAATTTGTTTTCCTTCCAGCCTGCTGTTCATTGCATCAAGCATGTTTCTTTCTTTCTTTTTTAAATATTTTATTTATTTATTTGACAGAGAGAGAGACAGTGAGAGAGGGAACACAAGCAGGGGGAGTGGGAGAGGGAGAATTAGGCTTCCCGCAGAGCAGGGAGCCTGATGCGGGGCTCGATCCCAGGGCCCTGGGATCATGACCTGAGCCTAAGGCAGACGCTTAATGACTCAGCCACCCAGGTGCCCCAAGCATGCTTCTAATCTTGTTTATTGCACTATTCATCTCTGGTTCTTTTTTATGTCTGTGTTAAGTGTCTCACTGATGTCTTCTACTCTTTTCTCAGGTCTGGTGAATATCCTTATTATCATTGCTTTCAATACTCCATGGGCCATGTTACTTACATCTGTTTCACTTAGATGTCCAGCTGTGGCCTTGTCCTGTTCTTTCATTTGGGACAAATTTCTGTCTTCTCATTTTATCTAAGTCTCTGTGCCTGTTTCTTTTTTTTTTTTTTTAAGATTTTATTTATTTATTTGACAGAGAGAGACACAGCGAGAGAGGGAACATAAGCAGGGGGAGAGGCAGGGGGATAAGCAGGCTCCCCACTGAGCAGGGAGCCCGATGTGGGACTCGATCCAAGGACCCTGGGATCATGACCTGAGCCGAAGGCAGACACTTAATGACTGAGCCACCCAGGTGCCCTCGAACAAGTTTATTAATCTCAGTTTTCTAATCTAAACATTCACACGGATATAAAGTGGTTATCCTAATGCCAGGTTCACAGCAGGGTATAAGATGCTAGCTCTCTAGCTCAATGGTTACAGAAACAGGACACGGGAGGTTCTTCACATCCCAATCTTGAAAGCACTCGCTGGGATTTAAGATCACTGTTATCAATCTGGATTTCAGAAATAAATGCCTGTAATATCCTTGAAGAGTCAGGTTTCAGAGATATCAAATGGGGAAGAATTAGGAGACTAACAGTCACTGCCCTGCCTCATGAGCAACAAAAAGACAGCTCTTCTTTATCCCAAGCAAAAGCTTTGGCGTCAGTTTCCCTTTTGGTGGGCTCTATCTGCCTGTGTGGACTTGGAATCCCCTGAACCCAAAGAGGAAGAACCACCTCCACTGGGGTAAGAGTCCAAAGCCTGGGTATTGGAGTTGGTGGGCAACTCTTAATGGCACTTGCGCCTGGGCTAGGGCAGCATCTTGGACCTCTCGCGGGCGCAGCCCACCCAACGTTGTCGGTTTGTTGGTGAAGGGGTGCCACTGGCCCTGGATGCTAGGGCTGTCCGTGTGGAAGGGCTTGCGGATGCGGATCACGTCCAAGCCCGACTGGTCCGCCAGCTTCTGCACCAGCGTCGCAATCTCCTCGACTGACTTGCAGTGGATGCTCTCCTCACGCACTGCCCTGTTAAGGTATTCGGCTACTACTCTGGGCACACAGCACGGCCGCGAGTTTACGTATATTACGACCCCCGGGTTCCGTCGGGCGAAGTCGGCCACCTCGCGTTCCACGAACTCCCTGGCGCCACGAGACGACGGCGCATCGCGGCTGAGGCTAAAGCTGAGACGCTGCAGCTGCTGCACGTAGCGCCCCAGCCCGTTGTGGAGGACACTGGCCAGGAAGCGGCTCGGGGTCCCGCGCGCCGTCATGGGTGCAGCGCCCAGGTAGCCCAGACCGTCTGTGCCTGTTTCTATGTTAGGTCAGCTCCATCTCCTGTGTCTGAGGATAATGACCTTATGAAGAACAGGTCCTGTAGTGCCCTGCTGTGTCATGTCCCCTGTTCCCCATGGCCTGGTGCTTCCGGAAGTGTCTCCAATGTGTGCTCCATGTGCTCTGCTGTTTTGTCCTGGCTGCCTTATCCTGCAGGCCAACCGTCTGCAGAGGCTCTTTGCCTGTGGTGGGCAGTGTTTGGTCCCTGGTCTGAATGTGGTGCATTTTAACCCAGTGTGCTCTGGTCTGCTTGTGAAGTAAGACCAGTCACCACTGCTACCGGAATTGAAGCTCCACAGTACTCCCAGGTCAGGAGACGTGGCGGTGGCAGGGGTTTGGGTCAGTCATTTGGGGGTGGGGTCCCCCCGCACTGGCACTGGGGAATCATGTCTGGGAAGGGTGGTTCCACCATAGTGTGAGGTGGGGAACTTGGTGAAAGCGCATCAGATAGCAAGTGTCAGCACTGCCCTGGTTCCTACAGGTGGCTCTTTGTTTATGCTGAGGGGCAGGGAAGGGCAATGGCATGTGCCAGCTCCTTTGTTCCTGGAGGGGTCTCTCCGTGAATGCTGCCTCTCTGCTGCCTCTCAGGGACTTGCCTCAAGATGAGCAGATGACCTCGCACTGTGTGCCCCAGGTGCTCTTCAGATTGCTGTTTCCGCACTGTATGTGTGCGGGCGCTTTGCCCTGCCTCCTCTCCAAGAGCAGTGCAGCATCCTTTGTGCTCTAGTCCTCTGTGCTCTATCTGAGCCAGGCCCACTGACCTTTAAAAGTGTAGGCTTTAAGCCCTGCCAGTTCCAAGAACTCAAGAAATTTGGCCCTTTTGCTTTCCAGGCCAATTGCTATGGACAGTCATTTTCCCAGCATACTCCCTTGTGTGCTAGTCTGTCTCTCACCCTTCTCTGTGACTCTGGCTCTTTCCCTACCGCAGTGGCCACGATCTGTTTCTCTCCCAAACCACATCTCCATGCTTCCTACCATCTTCGATGTGTCCTCTTCTCTACTTTTAGTTGTGGAGTTATTTCTGCCAGTCTTCAGGTTGATTTCGGGGATATTTAGGATGATCTGATAGTTATCTAGATGTACTTGCAACAGGAGGTGTCCCTAGGGTCCACCTATTCACGGCCATTTTCTCTCTGGTTATTTTATTTTATTTTAATTTCATTTTTAAAGATTTTATTTATTTATTTGACAGAGAGAGAGAGTGCGCACAAGCAGCGGGGGAGGGAGGAGAAGCAGGCTCCCTGTGGAGCAGGGAGCCCGATGTGGGGCTCGATCCCGGGAGCTTGGGATCGTGACCGGAGCCGAAGGCAGACACTTAACGACTGAGCCACCCAGGCGCCCTTATTTTATTTTCTAAAAGATTTATTTGTTTATTGGGGCGCCTGGGTGGCTCAGTCGTTAAGTGTCTGCCTTCGGCTCAGGTCACAATCCCAGGATCCTGGAATCGAGCCCCACATCGGGCTCCCTGCTCTGTGGGAGGCTTGCTTCTCCCTCTCCCACTCCCCCTGCTTGTGTTCCCTCTCTCGCTGTATCTCTCTGTGTCAAATAAATTAATTTAAAAAGAAGATTTATTTGTTTATTTTAGAAAGAGAGTGGGGGAAAGGGCAGAGGGAGAGAGAATCTCAAGCAGACTCCCTGCTGAGTGCAGAGCCAGATGTGGGGCTTGATTCTACTGCCCTGAGATCATGTCCTAAACTGAAACCAAGAGAAGGACACTTAACCAACTGAGCTACCCAGGTGCCCCTCTCTGGTTGCTTTAATAGTTTGTATATCTTCTATTGACCTTGAATAATATCTTTTTCCTTGTATTATCATATTCATTATCTTTTATTTTTACACATCCCATCATGTTGTGTTCTTTACTTTTTTCTTGACTGCAATAAGTTGGGGTGCAGTTTGGCTTAGAGCATACTATCATGGTCCAATTTCCCATATTACATATAACTGGTTGAGGAAGCATCGAGGCCATAGTCATGGCTACTCGTACCACAGGTTCATGCAAACATCTAGCAGTAATAAATGTAATTTGGTCCATTCTACTAGCATATCCTTAAGAACATGTTTTTCTTTTCTCTTAAGGGGGCTCTCTATAGCCTATGGGCTCTATTCTCCCTTTTGATATTGGGGAACTGCAAAAGTGTGGTAACCCAACATCATATTCTTTTTTAAGTGCCAATGTATTAAAAGTATTAATACATTTAATAAAATGTATTAAATCTGATAGCATTTTTCAAGTAAATCAAGGCTACCTTATTTATTTATTTATTTATTTATTTATTTATTTGACAGAGAGAGAGAGAGTGCACAAGCAGGGGGAGCGGCAGACAGAGGGAGAGGGAGAAGCAGGCTCTCCGCTGAGCAGGGAGCCCGATGTGGGGCTCAGTCCCAGGACCCTGGGATCATGACCCGAGCCAAAGGCAGACGCTTAACCGACTGAGCCACCCAGGCGCCCCAAGGCTACCTCTTGAGTCTCTGTCCATCTAACTTCCCTATTCTTCCTAATTGTATCATAGATAGGTTTTCATATCATCCCTACGTGCAGTATGTGGTGTTTCCTATATCCAAACAGTCTTACCAGTTTATGACCTTCTTTTGTGGTAGGAGATGTTATGTAGTTTATCTTGTTCATCACTGGGTTTGGTATTTTTCTACCTTCAGAGAACCAAATTATGTCTAGAAATTTTACTGTAGTGTGGGGTCTGTGGACCTTATGTGGGTTAATTGTCCATCCTCTGAGTGTAAGGAATTCAGTTCACCCAATTTTGACCTTAATCTGTTCTTCCACATTATTACCATAAATAAGGATGTCATTAATAGAGGAAATAATGGTTTGTTTATGTGTTGTGTTTTCCTGAAAGGCCTGGATGTCTTGTGTTAGAAGGTGGCAGGGTTTTGTTGGGTTGTTAAAGTATCCTTGTGGTAACATAGTAAACTGATAGTGTCTGCCTTCCCATGTGAATGCAGTCATGGGTTGATCTTCCTCATCAATTGGAATAGTAAAGAAAATGTCAGATAAGTCTATCACTGTATATTAAGTTCCGGATCCAGTGGTGCTGTAGTTTGTGATAGTGCCTGTGTTTGGGAGTGCTCCCTCAATTTTGGGAGGGTGTCTGTTTAAATTCCTATAATTTACTGTAAATCTGTATGATCCATCTAGCTTTTTAACAGGTAAGATTGGGTGAAAATAGTAGGAACAATAATTTGTTCCTATAATAGTTCCTGAATTTTGTTCTTAACTTGAATATGTCCTCCCTTAAGATTATAGTGGGGTGTATTTGTTATTTTAAATGGGGTGAGCAGGGTTCCTGGGTGGCTCAGTTGGTTAAGCAACTGCCTTTGGCTCAGGTCATGATCCCAGGGTCCTGGGATCAAGTCCCACATCGGGCCCCCTGCTCAGCAGGGAGCCTGCTTCTCCCTCTGCCTGCTGCTCCCCCCGCTTGTGCTCTCTCTCTCACTCTCAAATAAATAAATAAAAATAAAAATAAATAAATGGGGTGGGCAGTTTAATTGCAGTTCATTTTGGTATAGCTAAGGTATTCTGTGGAATGGTTATATCTTTGTTGTTTACATCTTGTATTATTACATCTATTTCAAGAATGTTTTCTAAATTGGGCCCTACAAGGCATTTGTCCTCATGGGTGGTATATCATTAGTTAAGACTGTATGTACCCATGTCCATGGGATTAATTTTCCTCCTAATCCTTCACTTAGTCTCTTTGATTGGTGAAGTTTTCTAAATTAGGGGGTTATCCTTGTATCATTGTTATTTGGGATCCTGTATCTAACAGCATAGTAGTATATGTAATATTTTTATTTATAAAAGGCGTTTTATAGATATGGGCACTGTAACAGGGATAATTGTCTCTGACTTGGGCAAAGAGATGGAGTCCCTGTATGGGGCTCATGGGGCTTTCTGCGTTTCACCTATCAGTGGCATGTCTATTTATGGGACTAGGTTTTATAATGGGGTAGTATTTACAATAAATGGATTCATGGGTCTACATGTTGGTTTATTTTCTGTTGGTCTATTTCCCCCCCAAAATGGGTGTTTCCATCTTTCTGCCGCTGTAAATAGTTTCTGGGGTTCTTATTTGGATTAAAGTTCTCCTGTATTTTTAGCACCTTCAAATACTGTAAATAGTGCTGTTCTATCCTGTGGAGGTGCAGCTGTTAGAATGACCTTTTAAATTGATTCTCTTGCGCGGCGCCTGGGTGGCTCAGTGATTGAGTGTCTCCCTTCGGTTTGGGTCATGATCCCAGGGTCCTGGGATCCAGCCCCACTTCGGGCTCGCTGCTCAGCCAGGAGCCTGCTTCTCCCTCTCCCACTCCCCCTGCTTGTATTCCCTCTCTCATTGTGTCTCTCTGTGTCAAATAAATAAATAAAATCTTAAAAAAAAAATAACTTGATTCTCTTGCTACTGTGTGTAGTAGTGAGGGTGTCTGTCCCCTATCATAAATCGTAGTTAATAGTCCTAATCTCATTACATTAGTAGCTTCCCCTGCTGTTTTTCATTGAGATGTTTTATGGGGTAATGTATTAGGTATAGGCCATATTAATCTCCAGGTTGCTGCTGTCCAGTCAGAGATCTTTGTATATTAATATACTTTTTTCCAAATGCTCTAAGGTGTTCATTAAATTTAGCGTCAGTGGTAATGGGTCTGAGTTTCACAGTTTCTGCTCCTGTGAGGATCAGGTTGTGTCCTCTTTTGGACTATAAATGTAGTAGCCACTGGGTTTCTGTGTTAAAATCAGTTTGTTGGAATTCCATTCTAATTTTTGTCATTTCTTGTCTAGTATAAACTAGTCAGTGATTCTGATTGGTTCCATATTTTCATTTGTTGTAGTTTTGTCTATTTTCATAGGTCTAGTTTTTAGTAAGTTAAAATTTACCAGGATCAAAAGGGTTAAAGTAATCATCATTGTTAGGGTGTGGATTGGTGCTATTAAGAGCAAAAAGGTCTAGGT